ATACGAACAAAACAATTAAATTTAAGGATGGTATAAAAGCTGACTATGTAACAGTTACACATACATATTATGTTCAATATTATGAACAGATCGTACATACTGAATTGGAATTGAATAATAATTAATATAAAGACTCTTATTTACGTCACATATATAAATACTAAATACTTAGTTTTTATAGATGAAATATGTCGAGGGAATTTTCCTGCTAAAAGATTTACTTGGTTATCAAATAAAAATTCTAAAAATATGTTTGAATTATTCTTGTTTTATTTGTATTCATCTCGTTCATAAGTTTTATTAAATATTGACTGATGCTTATTACAATAGTTGTACTTTTTAAATATACATATATAGTACTTCCATACCTTGGAAAATTATTTGAAAATCTTCTATTAAAACGTCTTCAAAATATCTCCAAAATAAATAAAACCATTCCTAACTCTCAGTATGGCTTCCGAGCTAATCATTCTACTATTCACCCACTACATCGTCTCACTGATGTCATCTCATCATCTCTTGAATAAAAAAAAATACTACTCGGGTGTCTTCCAAGACATTGGCAAAGCATTTGACAAAGTATGGCACAATGGACTTCTCCACAAACTAAAAACAAACTTTCCAATCCTATATTATTTAATACTCATATCTCATCTCAGTCATCGTTTTTTCCAAGTAAATTTAAACAACTCAATTTCAAACCAATTTATGATCAACGCCGGTGTACCCCAAGACAGCGATCTTTCTCCTCTTTTATATCTAATCTACACTGCAGATATACCTACATACCCTTTCACCATTCTCAATACTTTTGCCGACGACACTTGTATCTTAGCCTCCGATTCTGATCTCGCAATAACAAGCTTCAAACTTCAAAACCACCTCGATTTACTCGAAAATTGGTTCACACTATGGAAAATAGAAATTAATTCAAACAAATCTAACCATATTACTTTCTTCTTTCGTCCAAACAACTGTCCACTAGTTAAAATTTGCAACCAAATATTACCCCAAACCAACCAATTAAAATACTTAGGGCTCATTTTCGACAAACGGTTAACTTGGAAAGACCACTTATCTGACAGAATAAAGAAACTTAACTCCAGATTACATTTACTAAATCCTCTTTTACGATCAAAATTAAACTTGAAACTCAAAATCCTTATTTATAAAATTTTGATCTTTCCTCTGTGGTATTATGGCATACAAATTTGGTGTGATGCCGTTCCAAGTAACATACAAAAAATTCAATAATTTCAATCCATATACCTTCGCACTATTACAAAATCCCCCTAGTATGTTAGTAATAATACCTTTCACTCAAATCTAAAAATTAATTTCGTAGATTAAGTCACCAAAACCGCTTATTAAAAACTCCACAAAAAATATTGCTCCCATAGTAACCCGAAAATAAGTTATCTTACTTCACATCATATCCCTGACAACCCCCCACGAAGACTTAAACGTAAATGGGTTAGAGACCTACTACATTAGTTAATATCCAAGTAGGTAGCTCCATTGAGAGCCTTCTTTCATAGTGCCATTTTAATGTTATGTAAACTTCCTCATCATCATTATTACTTGTTGTACTTAATTGTATAGTTGTATTTTCGATTAAAATAAAAAAAATATGTAGTATTGTACAACAATTTCTAATTTTTTTTTTTCAGACAAATATAAGTAAATTTAAAAGTTGTTATTCAGGGTCCAGCATATGCGTTATATAAGGAAATAGAAGTTAATTTCCAATAACAAAAATATAGCAACTGATTAATTGGATCTATAATATATTGATGAGATTAAAATTGATCAATTAAGCATAATTAATATATTATAGTTATTATAATCTATAATAAATAATCTAAATATTGCTTTTATAGAATTTCTTTTAAACCATGCATTTCGAATCTCATTAAAACAAATATAACCTATAAGTTATTGGAGAACATTTAATTTATATATTTAATTAAAAAAAAAAAAAAAAAAACAACTACATAATATAAGAAATGAAATAATAGTTAATAATCTTTTTTTTTTTTATTTAAAAATGATAGTACGTGCTTTAAAAATATTTTTTTTCACTATAAATTTAAAAATTCTGAAATAATTATAATATTATTTACTAAAAAACCAAATAATATTAATCTTGTAGACAATTATTTTTATAAATATTGAATTCATAGGATTTCTTTTTTTAACCCAACTTTTTTTATACGAGTAGATTAATTTTTTTGATTTATTAGGTTATGTTAAGTTAGGATAAAAAATAATTTCTAACTATTTTTAAATAAATTGATATTTTATCCACTATTGTTTAAATATAAGTAATTTTACAGATTAAATGAAATGTGTATTTCAAAATAATAGCTGAAGTAAAAGGTTTTTTCTCAAAAATAATGAACGATAAGCGTTCTTTTGATGAAATATATTTCGTCAAAGACGTGTTCTACAAGTTATAACTCGCTGAACTGTCGTAATTACATCAATTATTGTTTTGCGAACTTATACACTTAAGCAAAACAAATGCGGTTTGACGTCGGACAAATCGTTTCTTCATCAGCATGGCATGCGATTACTTCATAATTCTAAGACTTGGTAGTCTGGAAAGATAAAACAATTATTATTTTCAGTAAACTATTCAAGACGCCATTCTCCAAATCATAATATTTTAATGTGCATTGCACTACTACCGTATCGATTGGATTTAATTTTGGACAGCGACGTGTTCGAGTGGGTATATTGTGTTCGTGTCATTTCAGTATACTAGCTGTCTTGCGTACTAAGCGCCGGTATTATTGGTGGTCCTAACTTTTGCCACAATTCGTCGTGCACTAAATGTTTTGCTTTAAAGTAGTCTTACAGACAATAACTTTACAGCTAAAGTTCATTCAGTTGGTGTTAACTGAAGTAATAAGTTATTGCTTACAACCTAACCTAACCTTGCGCATAACATGAAATACAATTGGAGCCGTTGGACGCAACTCGGGACATAATAATTAAATAAATAGTCCCTTGAAAGTTTTTTTCTTAAGTATATAATAAAATCGACGTCAGTTTGATGTATAATAGTTTTGACATAATTCCATGCGTCTATTTCATTATACCTGTGTGACGTTAATGTAATTATACACAATATATTAATATTGTGTATAGAAAGTATGGTTAAATTTGGAAATATAAACTATAACATTATGGATTAAGGTTACAACTTCTAATTTATACATTTCATGAATTGTGAACTTATTTTGCATCTTTGTTCTATAATTCATGTTATTTTTTAATAATTATATAATTGTGATTTGATTTTTTTTTTTTTTTTTGTAAAACAAACACCTATTATTTTTCTAAATACATTATTTTGAGTTCTACATCACAAGTGAACTTTAAAATCTGTGCACTTTAAAAAATATAATTGCATATTTACCATTATCCATAAATTAATCCATCAACTCCAAGCTATTAGATAAAACTACTTTTAAATATGTTAATTTAAATGAATTATTCATAAATGTATTTTTGTTTACAGTTAAGTGAAAACGTCTATTAAATTATATTTTATTTTATTTATATTTATTAATATCTAATATTGGTATCAATATAATTTGGTAAATTAATTTAGTATTGTTTACAGATAATTGTATTCTATAATAATTTTAATTAAATCTAAAATTAATACATTTAGTAACACAATATTATCCTCAATCTCTATTATTTCAAGAGGTTTTGTACAGACAGACGTTGTATGAATCTATACAATTATCTCAAGTTTCTTGCTCACAAATTAACATCTTTGTCCAGTTTTGAATAAGTGATATTCTGTAGTATGAAATTGTTTTCTATTCTCTTAAACTTAATAAAATACAATTTAAATTAGAAATTTCTTGTACGATAAGCTATTATATTATTATTATTAAACAGTTTAATATTGGAAAAATTTTATGAGCTATCTACCATCAACAAATATTGACTAAACTTTATGATTTTAAGTTACGAAAGACTTACTATATCCATAAGTTAAAATACTCGTATAGATTCATTTTGAATGTCCTTATATTTTATTTATTTACCACAACCATTATGGAAATATTTTATATAATAACATATTATTTTTGAAAAGATAATAATAGAACAATGCTTGATTTGTGAAAGCACCCAAATAAAGGCATTGATTCATATACTTTGTATATATTCAACATTTTAATGAATTATAAATATATACTTTAAATACAATATTTTTAGCAGTTTATAGACCGACTTAATACTGAACAACTCAATTTGATTTTGTACATAGATCTATTTATATTAAATTTATGAGAAAAATGTTATTTGAAATTCAGGAATTACAAATTTTATGAGTTCATATAAGTATATATAATAAATGCAATATAGTACGCGATAAACCTTTAAGGTACCTACTTATACTAATTATCGTTGAAGGGAATTTAATAATCGTGTTACGGTAGAAGAAAATAAAAAATAATTATTGTTTAAAAAATCATTCATTATGTACAATTATAATGTATAAAAAAAAAAAAGAACACGTGAATGTTTGTTATACTTCAATTTTATGTTTTTTATTTTATTTATTTTAACATGACGAAATTATGAAATGATCAAAATAAATGATAAGTTAAGTACATTTGAAATTCGTGTTCAAGTGCTATTTTTATTAATGTACTTTTCCTTTCTGTACCTAACCTTCGAACTATCCACGCGATACTGGTTTTATATTTTGAGACAATTTTTGATTTTATTTTTCTTATTTTATTTTTATTATACGAGTATTTAATAGAATTCTAAGGTTTACAGTATTTAACGTCAAAATATGATGTTAATATTTTCACATAATAATAAAAAATATTAAAATATAATAAATTATTAAATTATTAGTGTATAATATTTTGAATTGTTAGGGAATTTTTAAAGATTTAAGGGGCATTACAATTCCAGTTCTACTAATGTTAAAATTCATAGCAATAATTATCATTTTTTTTTTCCAGGTATCTTGGGTTCGTCGCCGAGATTGGCATATATTAAGTTCTGGTGTTTTTATGTATACAAATGATGACAGATTTCATGTAATGCATGCAGATAACGCAGATAATTGGGATTTACAGATCAAATATGTACAAAAGAGAGATGCTGGTTCATATGAATGTCAAGTAAAATAATGTTTATAAGTATCATAATATTAAGTTAACTGTAAATTAAAATGAATATCATATTATTATATTTAAAAATACAAGTTATATTTTATCAAATTAAAAATAAATAAATATTAATATTTATTATTAAAGAAATTATATTTTTTAAAACATCTCAAAGAAATACAATTTATTTTAAAATATTAAATAATTAATTTAAAGATAAATTTTTCGATAGAATTTAAGTTTTAAATTTAAAATATATTAATTTTTACAACTTTGTATTTAAATATTAAATATTGGACAAATATTCAAATAAAAGTGCTTTTACAACTTACTCATACTAAAATAATAATTGTTACATCATTATTTTTCCGTCAATAACACATTTATATGGTTTAAAGTTCAATATGTGTAATTTGTATGTAAAAAATAATAAGAAAATTATTCTGCTTCAAAATATATAATTAAATAAAGGAAATGTGAGGTTACTTTGTTATGTAGGAAGCGCGAATTTACTTAGTCCTTCAGTAAATCTTTACATATGAAAACTATTCTGAGCAAAAACGGCTTTTCAGCTTCTATTACTAAATATATTTTATGATATCCTCCATATTTATTTTCAAATGTTCCTAATTTTGACGAATTTTATCAAATTTTAAATTTCAAACGTATATAAAAAATATTTTTAGTATTATGCTTATTATTTTAATACTAATAATCAAATTTATGAATAAGTTTGTGCCAAATTTTCAAGTATTTTCCTTGGAACATTTTTCTTTTTCTTTTTATCGACATTAAACAAAAAAATATGCAATTTAAAATTTCTATTCATTATAATCTTATAATCCCCAAGAGCTAATTTAATTTATTGATAAACTAAAACTATACCATGTAAAAAAAAAAAAAATTCTTATATGAATATTTTGATGAAAATTTAAAATTCCTAAAATAATTCATTTTTGAATTGACAAAAAATGAAAATAAATCGATTCTGCTTAAGTTAGTTTTACATAAAAATTTCGTTCTTGCTAATTGCTATTTTGCTTTACTAAATTATTCTAAAATGTACTAGGAATTTTTAATTTATTTTTATCTTCCATGTACTTACCGAATATACTCATTTTTTTACTATTAACCACCTTAAAATTGAAAATCTATGCATTTTTCCACGATAAATAGCATACAAACGCATAAAACAAATAAAATCATTATAAAATCAATACATTTATCGCTCCGAAATATTTATCTAAAACTTATAAAATCATTGTAATACACGAGATGAAAAAAAAAATAAAAATATTTATTTCTAGCACAAATTATATTAGAGCAATAATATTACTTATATTCTTGAAGTGAAAACATTTTATTTAAAAGATTAGCGAGGAGTATAAAAAGTAAAAAAAAACATAAATACTCAATAATATCATATTATTTTTAATTTCAATTTATTATTAAGTTATAAATTAGTAATTATATATCATAAGTAAGTTTAAGAGGGTGGAAAGATGAGCAGCAGATTACCTAAAGGTATTAACAACATGTAATTTAGATACCAACAATATTATTAATAGTATTACCCAGTTCTAAATAATTCCGGTAAAGGTACCCATTGTACGACGAATGAAAGATATTTGTTAGGTTTTTCAAAACATTTTTAAAACATATAATATTTAATAATTAAAATTAAACATTTTATAAATTATTAGGTATAACTACAAACTAATATGTAAATTGTTATGATTTATACGAATTTTGTCAACGCTATAATTTGAAACGTTTATAAATAATTGAGACTTTATTGTGTATCGACATTTTTAAATAATTATTGAAACAAATTTAAAGTGATCTTGTATCTATTTCAATTTCGGGCATATTGACTTAGAAGCTAACATTTGATCACCATATTAGAATAAAAAATACCTTAAAATGTATTATTATATTTTAAATATTTATAAATGGATTTAGATTTTTTTTATTCATTTAAATAAATACTTTGTTAAAACATTAACAATATCTTATTTATCACTTAAAACTACACTAATAATTAATATTTTAGTTTTTACCAGCTTCAAAATTAAAAAAAAAATAAATATATAAATGTTTGTAAATCCAATATATTCCATCTAAAATTTAATGTTAAATGTTATTGCTTATTGATCCATTAGTAATTGTATATTATTTTTAATTATAACAATTCATATTAGTTATAAAACGATAAAATTTGTATCGATAGATCATAATTAACCTATGTGGTAATATTGCATTTCTGTTTTATCTTAAATTTAGAATATTAGTACTCGAGTCACGATTTTTTGAAAAATGGAAAAAAAATGAAACTTATTAATAAGTATAGTCTGGACTTTGGAGACTATAAAAATATATATATTATATTTATAAATTACATTTTATCTCCAGAATGGACTAATATTTTAGTCGTATATATGCAGGGTACACGTACACAAAATACACAACACTAAAATAATGTTTCGTTGCTTTAAATTTTACTCATTTCAGATGGATCTTTTGATATAAATTTCAGTATTTTACTATCTGTAAACTGATTCGTATAATACTTCTTTAAATTTCTCATGATTGATTGTTATAAAGTCAGTAAATCACTGTAAAAAAGTAAAATGTTAACAAATTCTAACTTATTGTTTTAATAAACAGTGATTGGCTAATATTTTAAGTTCATAACTATGTTCAAAGCTTAACTATAGTAAGCTAAAATATGGAAGATTTATAAATTGTGTATTTAAAAGCAGAATAATTATATGGTAAATATTATGACATATTATATTTAATGAGTTATAGTCAGATTAAATTTGTTTGTATTACTCATATAGCCATCAATGGAATAATTATAATAGTTGCTTTTTGGATAGTTTTAAGAATTTTTTACATATTATGTTTGAGATAAATTATTTTGGTCACAAAGAAATGAATAAATATATCATGCATATTATTTGGTATCTGATTAAATAAATAAATTGATAGATACGTATATTAAGATGATACAAGGATGATAGTTTACAAAAAAAAATCGTACAAATAGCAGATTTGAAATTTAGAAATTACAATATTATAAATGCTATAAAATATTTAGGATATATTAATTGATAGTATAATATACAATATGCCAACTTATATCAAATATATTTTTCTTTAAAAATGTTTACAATATTTAATAACTTAAATACAGAATTAGTTATTGGATTTCATTTTAATTGGACATAGAAATAATTTATGTACTTAAGTGGTAATTTATCATAATTTTAGCCAGATAAGTATATTTTATATACGTAATTAAATAAAGAATCTAAAATTAGAGAGTTACTTTACCAAAGAAATAATTTTGCCCAAAAACTTGAATCCTGTTAGAGAGATGCAATGTAAATAGTTTTAATGATGTTGCTCGTCATTCTGAATATTTTTGCTTGCATAATATACTCACAACAATTAACTAGTCTGCTTAGTTTGCTTATTTAGTATTCATAAATAAATTTAACAGCAAAAAAAGTTTATATTTAACGATTATTTGATATAATGATAAGCATATAATTATAATTTCATAGATATTATTATTTTAAATTATGACAGAGTATATTTTGTATAAATATCAATTAATATATTATAATGATTTTGTTTTTTAAGGTGGCAATGGGAACGGGTATTGCTTCGCATTACTATAACTTGGATGTTATTGTACCAACGGCTCGAATTTTAGGAAGAGAAGAGTACCATATTGGAAAAGGAAGTACAATAAACCTCATATGTGTAATAGAAAATGTAAGTTTTAGTTTATTAAATTGTATTTAAATAGTTTTAAGTATCGATGTCTATAATCAATATTTTTAATGAATGATAATACACATTTAATAATTTATACAATGACTTAAAATATAATTACTTATTTGGTATAATAAAAAAAATAAACATGAATCTGTTTTTGAATAATTATAACTGATATTTCAGATTAAAAGTATTTAAAAAAAAAATTCGGGAATATTATTAAGTATTATATTTACATTAACAATACTAATAAAATAATTAAAACACTATGATAAAAGTAGTATGCATAGATATGAATGAGCATTAGTTGGTATAGAATATATTGTATATTTAACTTGTAAGTTATAAGTCAATAAACTTAAAGAAATAAAAAATAACGTAAACAAATGGCACACCATCTCATACATCTCTCGATGTGCAGACATAATACATTCAAGAACCAGAATCAGACACTTAAACTTCACCCATATATATAATATAAATATATTTAATTAAATAAGAAGAATAACCCTGTTGAAGTCATTGTGACAACCCCTCACGATAAGACACATGTCTTAGATTGCCCACTATTCGCCCCCGCAAGGACCATCTCAAGTACCCTTTAATTATGGAAGAAGCTCTTGAGCAACACAATGCCTACTTAATATACCAATTTTTTAAAACTATCAGTATTGATATTAAAAATTAAAAGAAGTTAAGTTAAAATAGCATGTTAAAAAAAAAAAAAAAGTGATCTCTTTAATTAAGCTAAGCAAACAACCATATAATGTTAACTCTATAATATAAGTACCTTATGTAAATGTAAATACTAATATAGGCTAATGACCTTGATATTGAAGCCTTCATACTTGATAAAAAAAAAAAAAAAATTAATAATAACAATAATAAAGCTATAAGTATACAATTTATAATATTCTGGTATTTGGCAAATTAAAAAACAATAAGTTTTAATTATAATATTATTTTTATTAATTTTTATTTATTTATAATATTATTATATTATAATATTTTGACAAATAATTTTTGAAATAAGAATAACAACACTATTGCGTGCATCAACTTATAATATAAAATACTAAACTATAAAAAATATAATATCACAATAAATTTTTTATAAATATTTAAGTATTATTAATATATTTTGTAAAAATTTTAAATAAAAATATTGTAATATAATTTTTAACAACCATATTCTTTCTGTGTACATATTTTCATTAGTAAAATAGATAGATTTATGCATACTATTTCTAATTTTAATAAAAAAAAAAAATTATTTCATGTTTATTTTTTTTTAAATTTAGAATTTTGATTGAATTTTAAAACAAAGATAATTTTTTACATTACATTAGTACTAATTGTTAGTTGTCACTTTATGCTTTGTTTTAGAACTTTAGTTGTATAGATTCAAGCATTCTAAATTTATAAGCAGAAAACAAACAGTTTATTTTAACACATCCCATAAACTTATGTTAAGTGAATGTTTTATGTAACGTTAAGTACTATACACGAATAAGTACTTAAATAAGTTAATTTTCTTAAGATTATATTTTAATAAATCGTAAATACTTATTCCAATAGTAAAATTACTTCTATTAATGTAAATGGCATAGTTAATATATGGTTAGGTAAAGTTTTTGAATAAGTATTTGATTAATTCTGACACTAATTTATCATATACTTCACAACTGTTTTAAAAGTTTATATTTGATACTGTTTAAAGTATTTAAAATTTAAAATACCAATTTTAAAATAAAAATATATCTATATGAATGAAGAAGAATTGTTATTTATTATACTTATTAACTTTATAAAAATATAGTAATCTACATAAATGTAATATATTTTAATAAGTTTATCTTACAAATTTTACGATTTAATTAAATATATGCAATTACATAGCTACGTATATAATTATTATTTATATTCGATACGTTCTAAACTCTTTATAAAAAAAAAAGTAATTTTGAATAGTAAAATATATTCAATTTTATTTCGATATGTTTAAAAATTATTCCTAAAATAACAATATAAAAAGAAATATTAATGATATTTAAAAGAATTCTATTATATTTAAGTTAAGTATATCAACATTTTCAAAAATTCATTCACTAAATAATTTAAAAAAAAAATTGATCTTTGTATTACCACAGACACTTTTTAAGTACATAGTACAAAAATCTTGATAATTTTAATATATGGCCTTTAAATTATTTAAAAATTCAAAAAAAAATTATATAAATTATCGAAAAAAAAAAAAAAAAAAAAAATGAGAGAGAGCATTTTTAATATATCATTCTATTTATTTTATGTCTGCTAGATATTTTGTATTATTTTCCTAGTATAATACATAGGATTACTGGCGAGTTTTATCTTGAAATCATATTTTACATTTTACGTTTTTTCCTCCTCAGAAAACCTTAAACCTTAAGTCTCCTATAACCTTATACACGTATAAGCAACGACATTATTATAAGCCTTAAAAAAAAAAAAAAAACTTCATTGTCTACGTTAATAAGAACCGCACAACTATATTTAATATAAAATTTTTATATTAAAACAAGAGTATTTAAAACAACATTTTTTTTTTTAACTATAAAAGTTTAATATGTGTATTGATTTTAATTTTCAACATTATGAACTGTAAGTAAATTCTATATAAACAATTTATTTATGTAGATAAAATATTTTGTAATTCAAATCATTATAACTTATAATAAATATTAAATAACCTATATTTTTATACATGCATAATATATGATTTATGACTTAATTATTAATAAATTAAATTTTACTTTTAAGTTTTCACATAGCTGTATGTGAACTGTAAGGTGATCATACCGATATGTCTTAGTTATGCCTAAAAACCAGATTTTTATACACTAATAATTATGTAGCATACATATAAATATTGAAATATACACTAATAAACATAAAAAAAAAGATTTGTAAGAAAAAAATATTGCAAAAAACGAAATAATTTTTATTAAATATTTAAATATTATGATTGAACGTATAACATTAAATCAAAGTAAAACTTAAACATTCAGAACAATCTATAGCATATTTTATGATTGTAATAATTTTATTTTATAGGAAATAACAATATAATAACTATATATTTATACACCAATATTTAACATCAAGATCATCAGATTAGAAGAAAATTAGTTTTTTTTTTTTTTTTAAATATTTAAAGATATCAATATGATTTTTTGTATTGCAATTATAAAAACTATATTAAAATTTTGGGGTGATGTTTATTTAATTAAAGTGTATTCAAACTCATGCATTTTACAAATTTTATATGTTTACAAACATATATTTTTTCAAATTTAAATATCCACATTCTAATCAAAAAAAAAAAATCTTTATACAATTTTTGATTAAGTGAACAATTATTTAAATAATATTTACTTTAGTTAAAGTACTTATGTTTAAAATATTGTGATATAAGCTAAAATGCATTTAATGGTTAGTGCATATCAGTAATTTCATAATACACATAAATAATTTTCTCTTTATACATACATTTTTAATTCATCTAGTAACGTACCAACTTATAATTTCTAACAGTTATTTTGAATTATTAAAACACGTTGAATTTATATAATATAAACGAAATAATATATTTTACTTATTGAACAAAAAAAAAAAAAAAAAATAATAATAATAATAATAATAAATAAAAATATTATTTTAACAAATTTCAGACAGTCGACATACATTTATTATTTTAAAATATTTATTTTATTATTCCATTCTACGTTTGGATATATTCTGTCATTCTATCTACATTCAATTCTATGTTGGTAGGTCTTAAATATTATAAATTTAAGTTTGTTAAAAATAAATAATCAATTCTCTTTTTTTAAACAAATTGATTTACCTTACAAGATAAATTAATTCTGTACAATCAAAATGGTTTAATCGGTTTTCCTGCAATAATACAATTGTACGATATACCTAATACTTATACATACATATATTATAGCTATGTGAAATATTTTGTTACATACTTAAAATGGTAATATTAGGAAAGTTCCTTTCATATAGCTATTAAATTAATTTACTCGTTATTTAAATAAAGTTATGATGAAATATTATTACAAGCCAATTAGTTTAAAAGTATTTATTTAAAGACAATTTTTGTTTATCATTTTAAGCATTATAACATAAAGAAAGATATACTATATGTAATACTTTATGTCCCGACAATGCAAGTTGATTATTTTTGAACTGTTTCATAATATTCAAAAATTTGTAAATGTATTCAATTTTTAATTTTTTTACTACGTTACATTTAAAACGTCCTGAAATATTAGTTTAACATTGAAGAAAACTGTAGAAAATCATCAAAATCTCAGACAATAAATACTTTTTTACTAAGAATTACAATTACTCCAATATCTGTTAAAAAATTACGCTGGATTTTATATTTTAAAAAATTAAGATTAATCCATGCATAAAAAAATATACTGATAATTTTATATTAGTTTTTTTTGTAAACTTTGTTAAATATAAATATATTATATATAAATATTTAATACTGATATAGCTTTATAATTTAACGTTTGTAATAGCCATTAGAGAGAGAAAAAAAAAAACGTTAAAAACTCATAATTCATTTAAAATTATTTTTTATTTCATGTTTGTATTGTTATTATTTTTTAATCTGGCTATTATCTTTTCTTTACTGACTCGTAATTTTCTATGCTCTATTGGATATAAATTGTATCTTTTAACAGTATGGCACGGAACGATACAAAGTAATTCTCAAATACGGATGGTAGTAACATATTTTAACATTTCCAAAGAATTTTTAAACCCGATAATAACAAGAATCTTTTGTAATATTTATGCATGCACTTATAAACTAAAAAAAAAAAAAAAAACATGTATAGGTAGTATATTATGGTGGATGTAGTGAAAATATTTTTAACTTTGGTTACCTATTTCATTTTATGATAGAACAACTTTCAATAAAATTCAAACGTCTA